TTTTACAGGATTTATGCAGAATCCAGAAATCCGGCTTTCATCTTGTGCAGATTAACCTTTAACATGATAATATCAAAGTATTTCAATTTACAGAGTTTAATAACCTGGATGAAATGCAAAAAAATCTTAGTAAAGGCGACATTGGACGAGTATTTGTGGATTGAAACACAGCGTTTCATTTGTTAGATAAATCCGGATTGAAAAAGAACAAGCAAATACGCCTGATTCGACACATTGATTATACCATGGATTACTTCATAGCTTTTATAAAGAGAGACAGCTCACTCCTTGAAATTGCAGAATGTGGTCCATACAAGAAAACCTAGTGTAAATAGAGTTCAAAGTTCAAGGACAATGACATAACTACAAAATATTAACGTCAAACTATTCAATTTATAGAGTTTGACAACCTGGAACAAATGCAAAGGAATTTGAGTGGTGGAGACGTTGGCCGAGTACTTGTGGATCGAAACACGGCGTTTCACTTCTTGGATAAATCAGGGTTGAAAAGGAACAGGCAAATACGCCTAATTCGAAACATTGATTATCCCATGGATTACTTCCTAGCTTTTACAAAAAGAGACAGCTCACCCCTTGAAATTGCAGGATGTGGGCCTACTTTGAAAGAGTTAACGGAAGATTTAGTGACGGTTGCCAAGTCAACAGCTCAAGAACGACTCATGCCCGCCCAGATACAGGTAAATAACTTTCATAATTAGCAATTACTGAATGAGGCTGACATGGACGCGAAGAATTATGCAAATTGAGGAGGATGTTATTCACCGAGACTGATTGAAGCCAATCAGAAACGGCAAAGTATTTTGAATAAATAATAATTATTCTTTTTCTGTGTGAGCGTCTGGGCATCGACCTAACCATCAAACCTCAGAAGAGTAACTACACTTCAAAAACGGGTTATAAGAATAATGTCGAGTGGTGCTTTTGATAATCACCATGACCCTTTGTTTGAATTGAAAATTTAAAAATTTTGAATATTGAGAGTGTTTATAAACTTCAAATAGGAAAATTTATGAAATTCAAGGTCAACTAACGGTTATGTATGTTTGTTGGTAGGTAGCTATAGGTAGGTAGGTACTAGTTAAGTGCGTGTACACAAGAGTATGTCCTCGGATTCACCGAATTTTCCACACAACAATTTTTCGGTTTCGTAAGAGGTATATTCTGCCCGTTTTATTGTGGCTTGCTACGCCAAAACGAATTATTTGAAATACATAACTTGAACGTTTCATTTCGTGTAAGATTAATCTTGTTTTGCCACTTTCGCATTATCGAGAACTATAACTAGTGAAAACTTTTAACACTGATAAGAATAGGAAAAAAAGGCATAATCAGTCGTTTTAAATGTGCATGCTTTTCCTGTTCTTATCTTATCACTGAATGTTGAACTGCAGGGGCGGATCCAGGATTTTTTTAGAAGGGGGTGCACTCGTCTCTTGCTCTACTTCAATACCAATAAACCACATAGTTCTTTTTTAATTTTTTTTTTGCAGAATACCAGTTTTATTAGAAAACCGCAGGTCATCTCAGCGTGGGGGGGGGGGGGGGGGGGCCCCCCC